GAAGGCTTGATTCATATGTGCAGCTTTGAGATGCCTATTTGTAATAGAGCCAGGAACAGTTTGAAGTAACTGACAGGATATGTGTTACTGAACGCAAGTCAGTGTGTCCGACACACAGCGGTACCAGACAAGTTTGGAGCAGAGAAAGGTTTATTGCAGGGCCACGCAAGGAGATGGGTGGCTCGTGCCCAGAAAGCCCCAAACTCTCCAAAGGGTTTCAGCAAAGCTCTTTTAAAGGCAAGATGAGGGAGGGGCATGATTAGTTGTTGCAAACTCCTTGGTGTCGGAATCCTTTGTTCTTGCAGCTGTCCATGTAGGTCAGGTCATGATGTTCCTGTAAACCTCCAATAGACAAATGCCGTTGTCTGTTCTGCAAATTTGACCTCCACATGAATGGACTCTTAAAGGTTAGAGCCCTGAGAATAGGCTATCCTGTATATTTCAGGCTATAGGCCACATTCCTTTATAAAAGGTGCAGAGCCAGCGTGACTAAGCATGGGCAACAAAGCACAAAGGTGAAAGCAAAAGGAATAGATGTAATATGAAGTCAGATTTGTGCTTCCCTATTACATATGGACAGATAAAGAATGAATGAGGGGGGCTTCCCTGGTGGCGCAGTGGTTGAAAGTCCGCCTGCCGATGCAGGGGACACGGGTTCGTGCCCCGGTCCGGGAAGATCCCACATGCCGCGGAGCGGCTGGGCCCGTGAGCCATGGCCGCTGAGCCTGTGCTCCGCAACGCGAGAGGCCGTAACAGTGAGAGGCAAGAGAATGAATGAGGGGCTTATTACATGAATCACTTTGAATTACTATGCCATGCTGAGCTTCTGAACCTGAAAGTGGAATGGTCAAAAGGAGTTGTGTAGCAGGAAAGGGCAAAGGTACGTGGTTTCTTTATATGGGCCCTTTAAATTTTAATGGTTAGAAGAGTTTCTTACTGTAGTCTCAGCATATTGGTATGGAGTACATGGACATTCCATAGTTCTTATTTGGTAACTCTTCATATTAATAAATACAGTTTGTGAGGAAGCCATTCATGAAATGGCCAATTATTGGAGGGATTTTAAGGAATAAAGATCTGCATTTATTTTTTTTTAAAAATCATCATGGAACCAATGTGGCTAAACTGGAATCAGGAAAATTAGTGAGGTGGCTTGTGCCACTGTCCAGGTAGAGAAGGACCCAGTGAAGAGTTGAGGCAGTGGGGGTAGACGGAAAGGAATGAATCAGAGAAATTAATGAAACTCATTGGTAAGTAATATGTTGGGAATGAGAGAGAGCAAGGAATCCAGCATGATATCCAGGTTTCTGGATGTGACGGGTTGGGAGGACGATGATGCTATTAATTGCAAAGAAGAATTTCAGAGGAGGAGGCAATTGAGGTTTGACAATCCTGAGTTCATTTTCAGACGTGTTGAGTCTGAGGTGGCTGATTAAGAATATTCAGCTAGAACAGTTCCACAGAATAGTTGGAATTATTATGGCTTTTAAGATACCAATTTGGAAGTTGCAGTATATAGTCAATGAGTGTAATTTACCTCATGAGCACACAAGATGACCGAGAGAGATTGTGTCGTGTGAGAAGGATGAAATGTCAAGGGACATACCTGGAGAACAACGTTTGAGGGATGACTGGAGGAAAAGGAGTCCACAGATTGACTGGAGAGAGCCAAGAAATAGGAAGAAAATTGCGGTGGGTGGAGAGGGTATCGAAGTTCAGGGAAGCAGAGAGAATTCCAAGGCAAGGCGGCAGTCAAGTTTAACAGTGCAGCTGAGAGGGCAGAAATCACTGAAAAGTGCTGAGCAGACGTAACACTGAAATCATGGAGTTTCAAGAAGATAGTGGGGGCAGAAACCAGTTGTCATCGGTTAAAAGAAGCATGGATAAGAAAATAGATGCAGCGAGAGTTGTGTGTTTTCTTAAAAAAAACAAAACAAGACAAAACTCTGTTGTGAAGAAAAAGAGGTAGTGTGAGAAAGAAAGGGCGACAGCTAGAAGGGATTAAAAAAGGATTTCGACATCTTTAGTTTTGCTTTAGATGGATAGAGCATGGGGCTGGGGAACATGCTGAGAGTCGAAGGCACGTGATGTGTCAGGCAGCAAAGAGACAAAATAGTAATGACAGCAAACTTCTACAGCACCTCCTGTGTTCCCAACACTCCTCTATATGTAGTTTTACATGTATTAACTCGTCTACTTCGCATAACTGCCTTGCAGGGTAGGTTCTGTTATTACCGCCATTTTCCTTATAAGAAAACCGAGGGATAGAGAGGTTAAGTAACCTAACCAGTTTGTGCTCTACCCACCACACTAAGCAAATGAATTACAGAGCCGCCAGAATGGTACATATAGATGTGTACAGCAGATGCAGAAGGTCATTGGTTGAGAGGTGGAAGGCAGGAGAGGTGGGGTGCTTTGTGTAGATACAGTCCAGTTGTGTGATAAAAGGAAAGTTTTTCTGTGGAACATGCCTTTGCAACTTTTTCATATTATTAAGAAGTTGAAGATTAAGTGAAATTATTGGCTCATCAATATTACCTGACTGTTAACCTGCTTGGAAGAAGGTTAGTCGGGAACAACATTCAAGATTTAGTTTGCTGTGGCAGAACTAAACTAGCTGCTAAAATGAAATTCAAATATGCGTGATCATTCAGCCTGGGAATCAGGGCTGGAATGTGGCTGGAGGTGGGCAGGGGCGGCAGAGGGAGATGGAGATGGGTAGGGCATCCAAACAGAGGTCATCTTGATCTCAGAGTTGAATGAAGCTTGAAAGTACTTTCAGCCATTTGATTGTAGAACTCGTGAAAGATTGGGTCAACTTTTGTATTTGTAGTACGTTGTTCATCCTGACTGCGTAAGCTTTTCCTAGTTTTATGCCTGTCACTCCACAAAGGTGACATTGTTTGGAAATTTTGAAGAATGTTTAGAAATCTGTTAGTCTCTTACTCTAATAGTATCCTTAGCAACAGTAACTAGCAGTAATATTTATTCAGAACTAGTGTTCCAGGCATAATGCCTGCCGCTTTACAGGAACTATTTCATTTTACCTTTATAAAAACGCTAGAGATGGTCTACTACTTTCCTCATTATACACTTGAGGAAACTCAGGCTTGAAGACACAGAGTTCCGTGCCCAAGGACATAGAGCTAGCAACTGGCTAAACCAGGATGTGAACCAGGTGGTTTGAATCCAGAACTCAGGTGCTGCTTAACCCTCTGTGTTGCAAAGAAATAGATGGTACCCTGAACTTGCCAATTTTTTCAGAGTTGGATCGCAGCTGCCGTGTCCACATGTGAGAAGTTCAGCTTTAGAAAAACCTGTCTCTAGTTCTTCTGACCACAGTTATTTGGGGGTTGGTTTATGAAGCAAAAGGTGAAACTAGTAAAAATACAGTTAAAAGTTATCTTAATGAAGATGGAGAATTTTCCTGTGTCATGACCTTGACTGACTTAGGCCACTGAAAATATTTCTTTACCTTTTTAATGTAAAACGGACCTGTACTTATATACCCGTTGGTGTTCTAGACATTTGTGGGCTGAAATTACAGTGAAGAAAGTCTTATTAGCCATAGGGAAGACTCTTGGGACAATGACGGAATATAACTATTGCAGTTTTTTTTTTTTTAATAAATTTATTTATGGCTGCATTGGGTCTTCAGTTGCTGCACGCAGGCTTTCTTTAGTTGCAGTGAGAGGGCTAATCTTCGTTGTGGTGCGTGGACTTCTCATTGTGGTGGCTTCTCTTGTTGTGGAGCACGGGCTGCAGGCACGCGGGCTTCCGTAGTTGTGTCACACGGGCTCAGTAGTTGTGGTTCGCAGGCTCTAGAGCACAGGCTCAGTAGTTGTGGCGCACGGGCTTAGTTGCTCCGCGGCATGTGGGATCTTCCTGGACCAGGTCTCGAACCCATGTCCCCTGCATTGGCAGGCGGATTCTTAACCACTGCGCCACCAGGGAAGCCCTGTTGCAGTGTTTTTTATCCATCCATCTCATCAGTAGTGGGTACTTGCCATTTTAGCTGCTGGGATACAGAAATAAAGGCAGATACTGTCCCTGATTTCTTCTTGTGGAGTTTGTAGTCTGATGGGGAAGGCAGAAATTAAATAAATTCACCAAAAATGTTTAATTACTGCTAAATTGGATTTTGGAAAAACTCAAACATAAAATTGTAAATTTGACTGCCTCCTAGTTAACTGTAGTAGGCTGAATGGCTTTGAATGCTAGGAAATGGACTAGTTAATAGCCAAGAGTACGCCAGTTTGTGCTGATAAGTGAAAAACTATAGACTCAAGGTATTGACATAACTGAGAAGATGAGCATTAAAAAGGCTGGCTTCGTATAAACTATAGTTGAAAATATAGAGTATGTGGAAGAGAAAAAAGCAAACCTTAATAAGTTCATTTTCTATGCATTTATTACTAAATTATGAATGATTATAAAACAGACTCAAATACTGATCATGGGCAGCTTTGATATGGAAACTTTAAAAAAAATGCACACGCATCATAGCTTCTTCTTGAATCTTTTCTTTCTGCTGTGTTGGCCTGGAAACCCTGGAGGTGAGACATTCTATGGAAAACTGTGAGAACTGCAGCTCCTAGCCAAAAGTATCTCTGAACCTTTTTTTTTGTTCTTTTTCCAAAACCAAAAGTAATAACAGATAGATCCAGGCATGTTCAAATCTTTATTAAAAGTTTTGTTTTGCATTTGATATTAAAACCAATGAAAATTCTTAGACGACAGTTTTACTCTTAATCCATGGTTATTGTTCCCTGTGAGCTCAGGTTGGATGAAATTATGCTTTTACTCCAACTGTTTAAGTCCTTGGAAAATTCACAAGGTGGAATTTACACCCTGTTGGATTCTCAGAAGAACGTCTCTGTCTTTCCCTGTGTTCATGCGGACTTGTGCTATGGTGGTGTGGGGATGCTATTGGAATATTTTATTTCTGATCATTGTTTTTGATGAATTTTTTGCTTTCTTTCCCACTGATATCTCTACAGGCTCAGTTCGAACTTCAAGCCTTTCATATCCGGGGTGAGCATGCGGTGATAACAGCGAGACTAGAAGAAACCATTGAAAATCTCAAATACGAGATAGAACACCGATGGCGAGGAGGATGTGAAGAGATGAGGGATGTGTGTGTCTCCACCGACGATGACTGCCCTCCAAAGGCTTTCAGAAATGTGTGCATCCAGACAGACAGAGAGACTTTCCTCAAACCCTGCGAAGGTGAAGACAGGACAACCAGAAGTAACCAAATAATACCCAGAAAGCTGAATATCTCCTCTTTAAGCCAACTCTCTCCCCCAAATGACAGCAGAGACACCAGTGTACCGCTTCAATCTGCGGAAAGCATCCCATCGAGTCAGCAGAAGGCAACGCCTCCCGCTCCCCCTCCCCCTCCCGCACCACCCCTACTGGCAGCCATCCCTCCCCCTCCTCCCCTCCCACCCGCACTTGGACCTTTGCCACTGGCACCTCCGCCACCACCTGTGAATACTGGACCTCCCCCACCTCCGCCACCTCCTCTGCCTCCAAGTGCTGGACCTCCCCCCCCCCCCCCCCCCCCCCCCACTTCCTCACTCCACCGCTCCGCCACCCCCAGGACCTGTGCCTCCACCTCCCCCTGGACTCTTCTTCGGAGTCAACCCTTCTGCTAGCCAGTGTCCTCGGAAGCCAGCCGTCGAACCCAGTTGTCCCATGAAGCCTTTGTACTGGACTAGGATACAAATAAGTGATAAGAGGTAAGCTCAACTCCCCTGGCCCATTCTCAGCTTGTGAATTTGCAGGATTTTGGACAAGTGATGTTGTATTCCTGTTGGTTCAGCATCTTTGTAGTGTGGCACTCGTTCTCAGATGTGGTAGTGAATGCCTTGGATAAACAAGGCTGGAATGTTTTGAGGAGAATGTCTCCACTAGGTCTTCTCTGTGTTCTGTATGGATTGATGCTGGAAGAAACGACGTGTTCTGTGTCAGACCCTTCTCGAAGGTACATATTCCATTTCCCAGACTAGAGAAGAGCCCAGGGCTCTCCAGCATCTCTGCAATTAGTGAGTAATCACAAAGACATTGAGCCTGATTCTATACTTCAGGTTCACTGAAGAGTTTTAGATTATCTGTCTTGTCTTTAGATGGTATCATCAACCCTATAATGTGTATATTCAACAGGTAGGTGTAATTTTTCAATTTTTATTAAAAGAACTGGACATAGTTGAATCATTAGCTCTTTAGGTCAGAGAGGAGTCTTAAAATATCAACTCTCTCTGCTTGAACTCTGTTACCCCTCGCTACTGAGTGCCCTCACATCTTTATACCTTGTTGCCCTCCAGAGAAAGTGCCGGTGGGTAGGTGGCTAAAAAGCATCTTCCACTTGCATAGGTTGTTAAAGTGGGTCTGTAAGGCAGCAAGAGATGGTTGCTTGGAAATTTCCATTCAAACAGATCTGATCAGATTTCTTGTGCCTCATTTTGGAAAGCATCAAAAGGACAATGAAAAAGATGTTGAGTTGCTTCTTGACTACTCTCTAGGTGCGAAGTTCATTGTTTGCAAAGAACAGCAAATATAGAACAGATTTTTACATTTAAATTTTTGAACTTAATTCGCAAAATCAAGATGTGGTGGTGAATTTTTCTATTTCTATAACATTTCGCTTGGGGAAGGCAGTATACTGAACAAAATAAACTGCAATTCACAGTGAGAAACCAACTAGAAATCACTCTAGGAGGGGTGGGGCACACCTTGACACTAAGCATATGGTGAACTAAGTTGATTGTATACTTCATATTTGGTCTCTTTCCTCTCACCAAAATTAAGGGCGAATTTATTTATTTGATAAATTTATTTATTTATTATATTTAAATATAATACTCTATATTTACATTTCCCAAATGAGTGGTTAAAAAACCATTTCAGATGGTCCTGAAATAGCTCCTACCATTAACTAAAGTACTAGTATTCCCATTCAAGACTCAGATGTCATTTCCTAAGAAATAATTTCTCAGTGTATTTATTTGCAGCCATGTTCTCTTATTAGTGTTCTCAAATTAATGCGCAGCCATTCCAGGGTGATGAAGCCCACCTGTCAGCCCTGGCAGCATGTGTTCTGAGGGCACACGGAGCTGTTCCACACCTGGGTCTCACTAGCCTGCCTCAGCTTCATTCCCATAAGACTTCATGGGCAAACAATAACCTAGACCATACCAGTGTTGTAACAGTAACCACTGGGAGATGTGGGCCCTTCATCCACCGTTTAAGACAACAAAGACAAGCTGGAGATAATCATTGTAGTTTTCTCTCCTTACATAGTTGACCATTTTGAGAAAGAGGACAATTGAATGCTCAAGCTCTTATTAGTTTCGCCATGAACGTAGGGGCTTCAGTTTTGCGATGGGTTGAATTGCCTCCCCGCAAATTGATTTGCCAGTGCCCTAATCCCCAGTATCTCAGACTGTGACCTTATTTGGAAATAGGACTATTGCAGATGTGATTAGTTAGGTTGAGATGACCTCAGGCTGGAGTAGGGCGGGCCTCTAATCCAAAATGACTGGTGTTCTTATAAAAAGGGGAAATGTGGACACTGCCAGGGGCGGAGGGAGAACGGCATGTGGAGTTTGGAGTCCTGCCACCACCAGGGATTGCATTTTGAGCAAAATGAAAAGTAGACGGATGTTCCAACTTTCCTGACCTGGGACATCAGGAGAGCCCTGCTTGGTGAACATGTCAGCCTCGAGCCTGAGTTCCAGGCACAGGGGTTTAGTCTCTGTTTTTATGGGTCCATCAAAATGTTTTTGTACCTCAGAGCATGAATACGTCTTTTAAACTGACATGGTCTGAAGACCCTGTGTACTATTTATTCATTATGGACAAAAGTAAAATTATCTGGGTTGTGTTCTTTGACAGGAGATGATATTTTGTACAGCCAGAGGGGTAAGCACTTCGTGTAATGAGCACATAATCAATTTTGGTCTTGGTCTTCTGGGGAACTAAGAATAAAATATGAATTTTCTCTAGTATACACACACTGCCTCTCATCCACTTGGATTGCTTTTGACTACGAACATGGTTTTTAACTTTTGCCATTCTGCTTTCTTTGATGTCTGTTTTCTGGTTTCTAGAATAGGGAAAAGCCATTTAGTTTAAAAAAATTTTAGGAAGAAAGAAATCCTCATCTGTCTACCTTTTCATCTTCCTAATAAGTATCTTCCTGTTGAGAAATTATCTTCTCCTCCACCCCCTGCGCGCTCCTCCCTGCTCACTCCCGCGTCTGTCCCCTCCCACCTCTTCCCCCACCTCCTCCTCCTGCCTTCCTCTTCCTCTTCTTTGGAGCTCAAACTGTGTGTTCAGTGGTCAGAAAAGAGCTGGCCATGATGGCATGTGGTCCATTGTGAGCAAGTCCTTGTTACTGCCCCACCAGCCCAGTTGCCCCCAACCCGCTGTAGAGGTGGTATTCCAAAATTCTGTTACTCATTTTTGGAAATGCCTTTTCCCATAGAAACAGTGTTGTAGATGGTGATGAGGTGTTCAACCTGACTGCCAAAGCCTATTTACTTCAGAATATAAGTGGGTTATAGCACTAGTCCTACTGACCTGAGCTCAGAGTCCTTGGAGGGGGAGCCAAGCGGTACAGGTGCAGGAGATGGGGGGATGGGTCTGAATAATCTCCTTTGTGGGTCACATCACCTCCCTCTAGGCATCCTCTCCTCTGCTTCCCAGAACCTTCCTGAGGCCCAGACCAGCAGCTCTGAGGCTGCATGCTCCAGAGTTTCCTGGCTCTCTTCTCCCACCAAGATCCCCTTTCCCAAGTGCAGCTGAGAAAAGCATTTAACATTAAAGGTGTTCATGTTTCGAATTGAAGTTAAGGGGGGTGGCGGGGAGAGAGGGGCAGTGCTGAGGAAGGAGCGCATAGATGGATGTACCTCACTGGAAATGTTCTAGCCCTTGGATGATGATTTCACAGGTATTCATCATACTGTTATACATTATAACTTACATATGTCACATATATGTTCTTAAATGCCTCAAATATTATATTAGAAAAATTATAATTAAAAAAAAAAGTGGAGAGAAGCAAACGTTCAGTTTTGTTATGGGCCAGAACCCAAATGTCATATTTCACAGCAAAGGCAGACACATAGCAAAATGTGAACACTCAGATCTGAAAAGCCAGTGTTGCCAACTGCTTCAAATATGAAAAATTGTCAAAGCGGCGGGCAGGTGGGGATGGTGGTGTGATGAATTGGGCAATTGGGACTGACATGTATACACTGATGTGTATAAAATGGATGACTAATAAGGACCTGCTGTATAAAAAAATAAATTAAATAAAATTAAAAAATTAAAAAAAGAGAAAAAATTGTCTTTTAGTATCAAAAAATTTGTGTGGACCATGTAGTAAGAGTTCTTTTAGTTTTCGTTGGGAAAATGCATATCGAAACAAAGATAAGTACTTGTAGATATTATGGATCATAACATACACACACGTTTGATGTGTATGTTTTATGTGTAGATGAGACTTTTTATTAAATGTCTATGAGCATTAAAAGTGTTTAAAAATAAGACGAGAAAGTAAGTTAAGAAAGTAGACGTTTGGGAGAAAATGTGTTCTGACTGAAAGGAGCCTGGATAGTAAACCATCTAAGGCAGCTCTCAGAGGCAGTTGTTCTGAACCTGATTTCCCATATCTTCTTCCCTTTCTTTGTTTCAAAACTAGGGTATCCCTGTTTTTAGAGAGAGAAAAAAACCAATCAAACAAAACACAGTCTCCTCATGGCTGCTTTTGCTGAAATCTCTGCGGGGGCTGGTGCAGTAGGGGTTTTGCTTTGTTTTTATTGTTAATCCTGTTGTTGGGTGGTGTATTATAAAATCAAGTATTTCTAAATGAGCACAGCCTGTTCACATATATGGGTCTTAACGCTGAGTTAACCTGAGCTAAACCTGAGAACCATATTTAAAACGAATAGAAAAAAATTCAAAGGCGGGCACATCTTCACCCAAGCACTCCATTTTCATTCTATTTAAGAATTATCCTATGAATGTCTCAGAATTGGTTATTGTTTCAATCTTTATACGATGCCCATTTCTGCCCGTCATGGAAATGACACAAAGTGAGGGAGGAGCAGTTGCCATGCCTCGACAATCTGAATCCCAGGAGTTCTGATCCCACCGGGTTTCTTTGGTTCTCTCTCTTTGGTTATATCTAAGGACCATTCTGTTTCGGAAATGTGTGTTTGCTTTAATACTTAGTATATTTTGACTTAAAAAATCTGTAATCGTAAAAAGCTTTTCTTCAAGCGGTATTAGAGTTTTTTAAGGAGTTAAAAAAATGAATTAAGGATTTCACTGTATTCTAATCTCTTTTGTTTCTTAAGTTGAACTTGCCATTTTCTCTTTTAAGCCAAAATTCTACACCAACCTTGTGGGATTCCTTAGAAGAACCTGATATTCGGGATACTAGCGAATTTGAGTATTTATTCTCCAAAGACACACCTCAGCAGAAGAAGAAACCTCTGTCAGAGTCCTATGAGAAAAAAAACAAGATCAAAAAGGTACTGAGTGACTACAGTAATCTTTGTAATTATATATATATATATGTATATATATGTATATATTTGTCATACATGGGAATTTATTATGTGCTGCTGATTTGCTTTCCCTCTGTTTTCAAAAAACGTTTTGAAAGGTTTTGAGTCACAGATGACAGAAAGGAGCCAATAGTTGGAGAAATCCGTGCTTGCTATTTTGGTCATGCTGTCTGAATTTGCAAACTGTTTCCTTCATCTGGACTTTTTTCAGCCACTAATTCTATTGAAAAAATGCACAAAAGTTAGTGAAAAGTAGTCTGTAGGCTATATGGAAAATGTCTTCTTCACTCATTTATAGCTTCATTCATTGAACAAATATTTATTGGGAGTCTGAGCTAGATTTTGTTTTAGGCCCATGCTCTCCAGTCGGGTAGCCCTTAGCCACATGTGACTCTTGGTGATAAAATTAAAAATTCAGTTCTTCAGTGGCACCAGCCACCTTTCAGTTTTATGCTTCTGGCTAGTGGCTACAATATAGCACAGATATAAAACATTTCCATCGTTACAAAAAGTCCTCGTGGGTAGCACTGTCTGAGCACCTGGGGCATGTTGGTGAAGAAAAGCAAACAGGTGAGAAAACAGATCCTTGCCCTCTGGGGCGTCTATTAACAATAAACATCAGAAACAAAAAATCAAGTCACGTGGTAGAGCAGAGTAAGGAGGATCAACTTTTTCGGGGATAGGGAGGGATGGGGGCTACGGGTTTGAATGGAGTGTTCAAGGTAGTCCTCCTTGAGAAGGTGACCTCTGAGCAGACTTGAGGGCTAGAAATCTGAGGCCACCAGCCAGCCATCAGAGGACAAGGTCAGGATTCACAAGCAATCAGATGTGGAGGTGAGTCGCCACGGTCGCCATGCACTGGCTGCGTGCCCCAAGTCAAAGTTCCTTCAGTCTGCCTTGGTCCCCTCAGTGTCACGTGAGGTGACATCTATCCATATTGCTCTGAGTAATGATCAAATGACATCGTATGTATACACGGGCTACCGTAGTGCCTGGTACCCAGTCAAACCTCAGCGAGTAATTGCTGCTCTCATTTTGCTACTGTTGCTGCCGCCGCTGCTGTTTCTCTGCATTAGTGTTGTGATAATAGCATAGATGGTATTAGGGAAAAACAGTTGGCCCTTGAACAACATGGGTTCGAACCACACGGGTCCACTTATATGCAGATATTTTTCAATAGTAAACACTACAGTACGAAACAGCCCGTGGTTGATTGAATCGCGGATGCTGGGGAACCGCGGATACAGAAGCTGACCCTAAGCTATATGCACGTTAACCCCTAGTTGTTCAAGGGTCAACTGTATAGTACTTGGTTCTGCTGTTGATTTGCGATATGATTCTGGGCTGGTCATCTCACTTCTCCAGGCCATATTTCCTCTTCTCTATAAAACAAGATGAACAATATCTGAGTCTACCTGATCCAGCAGGATGCTGTGAAATTCAAATCTAAGAGAGTTTGAAGAAGTGTTTTGAAAGGTGTGTAATACTGAATGATAGTTTCATCAACTCTTCTTAAATTATATAGTGAGGTTCATCCATTGGTTCATATCTCAAGTAACATGATTGTGAAACGAGCTGTGCCTTGTTGAGGGGGAGAATGGCAAAAGTCCGGATGCAGTTTTCTGTTAATCAAATCAGGTGTGCCCACTGACTTAAATTATACATGAAAATCATGGTCAAGGTTTTTCACAAGTTCATTGGAATTGTGTTTTCCTGATTGAAAAATGTGATCCCAATAATGATTAAATATCAGAGCAAATCTTTTAAGAGGATGTATCGCATGAAACAATTGAGTTACGGCAAGAAGTAAACTGATAGACTATAGAATATATTCATGTGCAGTTAGATTCCTATGAGATGGAAATAAGGGCGTTTTGCTGGCCAGCTGGCTTTTTAAATGCCATCTATAGGAACAGAAGACTAATTGTTTCTATACAAAAGGCAAAAGCAGAATCTCTGTATTCCAAAAGTAGCCTCATTTTGCCTCTTCCAGGAAGCCTTCTCTGACCATCAAGGAAATCCTCTGAATGTTTTCTTACCCAATATCATATTAAACTTACTTTCGTTTTCTTTTTCTTTTGCTGTTACTCCTTGTGTTTCTCTCTCTGGATGCTTGGTTACATGTTACTTACTCATAAAGCTAATTATTTCTGTTTTGGTGAATGAGCATTTTTAAAACATTGAAGTATTTGTTTTTAAAACATCAAAGCATTTGGTAGTTTATTCTTATTTCTTATCATAATTATTTGCCTCTTCAACAAAGGATTTTCACTAAGGCGGTTAGTACTTGATGTGTTTGTTTCTCCGTCTGAGGGGGAAAATATCCTTTATTCAAACTCTTTAATCTTTCTGAACAGTGAGGTTGCTGTTACCCCAAAGACTCTGTGCACACGTATAGTCTCTATTTTTTTTCTCTAAGGGTAGCAGTCTTGAGGGTGCTTGGAGTTTGCAGTGAGCTTGTGTCCTACCTTAGAGCTGAGATTCTAAGTTGTAAAGAAAAAAACGAATTGAGTCAATGCCAGAAAACTCTGAACCTGCCTCCTAGGCGCCTTCCTTCTGTGCCCATGGCCAGATTTCCAATATCAAGATGGATCCCTTGGTCTCTTCTGAAAGTCAGATGTTTATTTTCTGTTCTCTGAGAATGAAGGTGAAAGTGAATTTTAGTGATTGTGAGCAACTGAGGAGTTTCAGCCCTGGAGGCCAGCTTTGTTAGCCTAACCACAGAATGGTTCCCATACAAGGTGACCAGGAGACACTTGCCAGTTAGATCTTTTTATGGTGACGGAAATGGAGTATATGTCAGAGATTTAAAAATCCAGCATTCTGAATCTTGGCCGCAGGGACTCTGCCAGCGTTGAGACAGACGTGAGCATCTCTTAAGTGGAGCTGGTCTGCATCCCTCTGCACATCCCACATTCCTAGTCAGAACTGTCGGAATTGTTACCGTTCTGCTGAACTCAGATACGAGTTTCTAGTTTCATCTTCTGTAACAGCATTTAAAGTTCCCATCACTGGCACTGATTTAAAACAAACAGATACATATCTTCTTAAACTGGGCTGGGATCCTGTTTTCTAGTACGATACAGTCTAAGAATTAGAAGGAACCTTCCCGATCATCTCATTCAGTGCCCTCATGTGGCACATGAGAAACGAGACCTAGAAAGATGAAGATGACTTCTAGGGTTTGTATGCTTTTAGCTAGGAAGACATTGATAATGACGGACACTTGAGAGGATGTAGAAGGGCCTCAGCATGTGTCTTCACTCCCCCTGAATTTAAACAGTAATGGGCTTCCCTTAATGTTGGTAACAGCTTTTACTGGGATGATCGATTTTAACCTTTATAAATGAGAGTAGCCATTCTTAGAATCATCAACAAAATCCAGCTACACTCGTGCAAATCCAAAATACGTCCTACATTGTGAAATTATCCAAAGTCGTCTTCAGGTTCTTCCAGTAGGAATCCAAATCTTTGAATAAAAAGATACTATATATAAAAGATACTACATAACTCCAACTACGAAATAATATGAAACCATATGTAGATTTGGAGCTGTTTTCCTTTGACCCCCATCAATCATTTTAAATATTAGCTATACGTTAGATACTAACTATGACAAATTCGTATTGCCTACTCAGGCCTGTGCCCTCTTCACTTGTGGCGTGAGACCGCTCTGCCACCACAGACATAACATTCACCAAATTGAGAACCAGAACTCAAAACATCAGCTCTTGTCTGTACCAGCAGCACTTAGTACTATCTCCTATTTTTTTTGCTCTCTGATAACCTTCAGGGCAAGTCGTTTAACTTTTCCACACAGATTCTTTCTCTACCAAATAGGGAGTAACAACCCTTTACAGGGTCATTACAAGGATAAAATGGAATCATGATTGTGAAAGTACTTGAAGTATTCTCTAGAACTATGTATTAATCTCTTCGTTTATGAACAAACATGAAAGCTTTGCAAAGAAATTCTTGACCATCGCTTATTCCCACAAGCTTGTTGAGGGTCTTCAAACATGAGTGTGTCCCTGTCTGAAACTATTTGCAAATGGTCATCTCTAGACCATTCCTGTTTTTCAGCTCCTTTAACAGAGTATACAGACATCTAGTAGTTCATCTTACATTGGTTTATATAGTCTTTTTGCACTGTAACATAAGAGTTTTCACTGTCAATATGCCCATATTTCTACTATCTCTAAGTTACATTTGTTCTGGGGAAAGGTAGATCGGCGCCTTGACAAGGAGCCAGAAATCTGCCTTCGTCAGACAGAATGTATCTGAGATTCTTTGTCCTGGTGCCTGTCAGAGAAGTAGCTACTCCAGTGAACTCTCCAATTGCTTTCTAAACTTGCCTGACAACGTTCAGAAAATCAGCATGACCTGCCGATATTATTCCTCTCTTGAAATTATGAATAATGTCCGTGCTTGTTCCCTCCTCTGTAAGATACATGAAATTACTCCACTCCCTTGGCCTTTTTAATAGATATTTCTTAAGAATTAATGACATAATGGCTATTCCCTGAGCACTTGGTGGGAGTGGGGGTAGGGAGGGGTGGTGATGGTCCTGCAGACACTGGTCTATTGAAACTTCCTGGAGCCAAAAGCTTTCAGTTGTAATTGGGTCACTTTGGCCAGGATCGTAGCTGTAACTCTCAAATCCCAGACTTGGTGTCTCAGTTTAGTGGGGAGGGGAGATGAGTGGAAGGAGAACATAAATTTATAGGGTTTTCATAATCTGTTGCCTTCCACGTTTATATAATTTCAGCTTTTGTGTACAAAGATAATTCCTCTGGGCCGCCCCGGTAAGGTATGTGCATTATTTTTTTTTCCCCCAGGAATGGGAATGCATTTGCCAAGCCCTTTCTATTACTCATGTGTTTGAAAAATGAGCAGTGAGGTTAGGGGTTATCATCTGTGGCAGTGAGTGAAATCACTTGCCCGTGTGTTGTTTGCACCAATAT